TTGTTGGAGCTTTTCTCAATTATGTAGGTCATCCTTCTTCTTTTAGTCAGAAGCATCTGTAACCTTCGTGTGGGTCTAGATTACAATTGGGTTGATGTGTTGCTGTCCCCTGTATGACTCCTGTATAGGGCACCAGATTCTTTCCCAGCCATCCCCTGCAACAGCATTGGCTATCTATAGGTAGACCTACTGTGAGAGCAAAGTCATAGTCCACCATACAACAATCACTCCTTAGGTACTAGTCATTTTCATGAGTAAAGGGACCTTGACAGCACTGTGTGTGGTAATATTAGTTATTGTGGATACAAGTTGTTGGGAGGGGAGAAGAGTGAAAGAAGAAAAAAACACAATAAGATTAGTAATTAGTATGTTGACAGGGAAAATGTAGAGGAAAGGAACTTAAATAGGAGGGGGTATGTTACGATAAATCTTTCCGCCAAAAGCTGCCACGCCCCACCGTCACATGTGCGCTCTATGCCAGCAGCCCGCCCAAGTTAGGGCCCACATTAATACACAGAAACTTGTATTAGGTTCAAATGCTGCTTGGCCAATGACTGGGATTTCTCATCTGTTAGCTCAGTCTTAATTATCATAAATCTATATATTTTATAAGACTTATCTAATAGAGGATGCCTTCTGCTGGCACCCTCCCTTGCCGGTGGATCACATTGTGCCGCTGGAGGAGGAGCGGAGGGGAAAGAGGGCACTTCCTGTTTCTCCTTGCTTAAATATGAGTCTCCTTGCTATGTCACTTCCTGCCTGGATCACCACTTATCTACTACATTTCCCAGAATCCTCTTTGACTCCTAGTTCTGTCTAACTTGCTGTCTTATTGGCCAAACAAGTACTTTATTCAATAATCAATAAGATGAACATACACAGTACATTCCCCATCAGGGGCACTGTAGGGAAAAAGACTTGGGGAGATGAGGGCATTGGGGCTAAAGGTAGACCAGAGAGAGGTACAGATGTGCTGTCAGGTAACACAGAGCACATCTCTCGGAGGCTGATGTGCAGGTACCCTACAGACCAAAGGAAGAATAAGGAGAGGGGGAGGAAAAGAGAAAGTAAAATTATAAAATGCAGGAGAAAGAAAAGGATGCAATACAGAACCAAGGAGTTGAGGTGACCTGCTAAAACAAAAGTGGGTATTAACACACAGGTGCTGTAGATACAGAGGGAGATAAAACTGGGTGGGGATTAGGATGTGAAAACTATCTCTCTTGGTTGCTGGCTGTCCTCTGTATGCTTGGCTTGCTCGTGCTTCTTCCCTGATGAGAGGAGGTCCTCCGGGATGGGTCTGTTCTCCATTCTGACCTCGGCCTTGGATGACCAGAATACTGTTGCAGCTCTTCACAGGTGGAGTCTGATGTCCTAACAGCTCTGGGAATTCCTTCTGGTCTCCAACTGCCAACGCTGCCCTACCCCTGCGGATGCCACACCAGTCCTCTATCTGTTGCTTGGAGTCTGTGAAAATTCTGGTGTAACTTTAGCTCCACCATATTCTCAGCTTCCGAAGTGTGTCCAGATGCCCTTAGAAATTTCTTTCCTGCAGTCTTTCGGGGACCTGTTGTCTGGTTATGATGTATTGACCCTACCACTTGAACTGTGTTTCTATGTGGTTTACCCAAGACCTTGAGCTGCCAAGCTGCAGTGGTAGGAGGTTTTGGAGCATGTGTTTGTTTTTGTGGTTGTTGCTCTGCTAGTTTTGTTGTTGTTTTAAATGGTGTCTTGTTTCTGTTGTGTTGTTTACCAGTGCTGGATAAGACAGTAAATTCTAGTAAGGGTAGGAGTCCAACCCAGAGCAGTCTAAGCAAGCTTACAGGCCTTCTGCTCCCTTCCTTCCGTCAAGTGCTGAGTTAACAAAAGGCTTCACATTCGGGTGGAAGGAACATGGCCCCATGTTTCCTAGTCAGAGCCTGAATTATTCAAAAGAAACATTTTAAGCTTTGACGACTCCATAGATGAGAGGCCCAATGCTTGTGACTTTCACTAGCCCTCAGTGGTACTAGCAATAGCAAAGAGTCCTGGGAGCTTGAGGTTGGGGCCCCCTCCTTTGACACACCGCTGATAGAGAAGACCACAGAGGCCGCTCCTTGACTTCAGAGGCAAACTCAGGTGCTCTGATTAGGAATCAGCTACATTGGCTGCGTGTCTACTAGCATCACATTTTATGCTAGGTGCTCTGTGCACATGCACTCTGATGGGGTTCATGGTCCTCACAGCAGGGTTGTTTTACAGCACGGGTGATGCTAGATAAGGCAGGAGAAACTTTGCTTTTAGCTTTATACTTTAATACAAATCGGGGCTGGAGACAGAGCTCAGTTGGTAGAGTGCTTGCTTAGCATGTGCAAAGGCCTTTTTTCCACCCCCAGCATTGTATAAACTGGGTACAGTGGTGCTTGCCTGCAACAGGGAGGTGGAGACATGGGGATCAAGAGTTCAAACTCATCCCCAGCTGCATAGTGAGTTTGGGGCCTGCCTGGGCGCAAGAGCCTCTGCCTTAGAAAAATCAAAGAAAGAAGGAAAATATAAACCATAAGACAAGACTTTGCTCAACAATGTCCACATCAACGGGATTTGACCCAAGCCTAGGAGAAACCATTATTTTTAGTTTTTTTTTATATATAAAATATGTCATCTCAGAGACAGCAGCATGGAAGAATCTGTAGGAAAACTTGTCTTCCCATGTCTGAAGCCTGGATTGGTCCAAGCCAGTCATCAAGGAAATCAGACTGGATTCTGAAACAGTATGAGAAAAGTAGAAACTGGCATGGGGCCTTGGATGGAAATGGCAGCTAGTCAATCCCAACATCTCAGTCATATATGTTCCCAAGGTCTCTGGAGTCACAGCACAGAGAGAGATGCTGTGCCCCTACAAAGTGGTTCCACGGGAACACTGGAAGTGAGCGGAGCTTCATGGCGCTTACTGTACTCTCATATGCCAGAAAAAGAGTGACGGCAGGGACAAGGAAAAAGAAGCCTCCATTCTGAGGCTATATATCTCTGATGAAAGGCTAGTTGCAGAACATTTTCTTAATTAGTGATTGATGTGGGAGGTGCCCCTGGATAGGTAGTCCTGGGTGCTGTAAGAAAGCAGGTTGAGCCATGAGGAGCAAGCCAGTAAACAGCACCTCTCTGTGGCCTCTTTATCAGCTCCTGCCTCCAAGATCCTGCCTTGATTTTTCAGTGATGGAGGGTGACCTGAGAGATGTAAGGAGAAATAACCCCTTCCTCCCCAAGAAGCTTTAGCTGTGGTGTTTCATCACAGCAATAGAGACTCTAAGTCAGAAGCTGTGAGGATGAAATTTCCTCAGGACTGTTTCTCAGTCTGACAAGCATACAGTCTCATCAACACCAGAAGTAATATTAAAAACCTGGGATGACACTGACACCTAGTGGCAAAAACACTCCTTACTAGATTTCTTAGCAAAATGCTTTTATGGTTCCTTAGTGTTTTTTTTTTTCACAAGGCACTGGAATCAAGGCTTTAAAGGAATTGGCCGGTATGCATGCCTTTAATCCACCAGAGGCAGGCAAATGCCTATGAGTTCCAGGCCAGCCAGACTACATAGTGAGACCCTGTCTTAAAAAAAAAAAAAAAATATGGGGCCGGGTGTTGGTGAGGCACGCCTTTGATGTCAGCACTTGGGAGGCAGAGACAGGCAGATCTCTGAGTTTGAAGCCAGCCTGGCCTACAGAGCGAGTGCAGGACAGGACAGGCTCCAAAGCTACACAGAGAAACACTGTCTCGAAAAACCAAGTATGTCTGTATGTGTGTGCGCGTGTGTGCACATACATATGGGCTCTTTCAACTCCTTCCCCACTCTCAAGGCTCAGAGAACATTGTAGAAAGAGAGGCTATCTACTAAACCTGCACAACCCCTAACTGCACTCTAAATATTTGTTCTTATACCCACAAATGAGAGTAGTCTTCAATGGTCACCAAGGAAACTTTTTTCCAACAGAGACTATTACAGAAAATCACAACCAATGAAAATGCAGTTGTGCAACCTAGTCCCAGTGGATACATCCACAAAACATTTCCACACCCAAGGCTCCAGGAACATTGCAGAAGAGGGGAGGGTATAAGAATTGTAAGAGTCAGAGGACCAGGGGGTTTGCTGGCCCAAGGAAAGCTGGCCCTGCCTCTCGATGGACTGCAGCAAGAGAGCTGACCCCTGCTCTCAGGAGTGATGGCCCCTCCCACAGGGGAGGAACTGACCCTGGTGGCATGGGCATAGGGGAGCTGGCTCTATTCCCTCACCTGAGGTGGGAGGTGCCAGTGGCCTAGACTGAGCATCTCAGCTACCACTGAGGCCCACAGCTGGGCCTTGGGTTGGGCCACCCTAGCATCTACTCCATCTAGGAGTAAGGCTGACTGGACAAGAGGGTGTACTACGTGACACACTGCTTGCTCCCAGGGCCACCAGGGCAAATGGAGAGGTGGGAAAGAGGGAGAAACAAAGAGGTTTTTTTGTTTGGTTGTTTTTGGTTGCTTTCTTGGTTGTGGGTTTTATTTTATTTTATTGGGGGGCACTGCAGGGATGAGGGGAAGATATGCGAGACTGGGAGGTGAGCAGAATTGGGGTACATGATGTATAATTCCCAAAGAATCAATGATGTCTAAAAAATCTGTGGTCCGATGTTTATTTCCTTTGTGATGATCTTGTTACTGTTTCATGCATCTCATTTCTCCTCTCCAACCGTATTTGTCCCTTTGTATTCACAGAACATGATTTATGTGATGCTCAAGTGTTCATTTAGGAAGAAAGACCCCTGAGTCAGTAGGCTGAGCTTGTTGAGTTCCATGCCTGAGGGAGAGTCACTGTTTGCCACTTACATATTTGTAAGTCTCGTAAATGACATTGGAGTCCTCAAGTTTAACTGTGAAGACCAATGATGACTGAGGCGGTGACTGTCTATCCTGTTGCTATCTATCCCAGGACTGTTTATTAAATATTCTCACATTTTTAAAGGCTATTGACATGTATTCTTCCTTGAAAGAAACATTTGTTTATGATCTTTATTAAACAGCTCAAACAAATCCAGAACAGGTTTCACAATGGAGTCTGATGCAAAGACGCTAAGTCATGCGGGAATAAATACTATCCAGTGTGCTCCCTGACAAAGGTGAGTATGAGGGTGTTCAAGCACAAGGCAGCGTACGTGACAGATCTGCTCAAAAACCTGCTTGAAAACATGATTTAAACCCCACATTAAGGTTTATTATAACATAAATGTACTTAACAACTTCTAATTTCAAAACAAATTACCCCAAGAATCAACTACCCCTTTAAATAAAAAAAATAATTTATACTCTTCTTAAAGGAATTCCAACAACTTAAAATAAGTTCCAACTCCATGTATGTACATATAACTTAGGTATGCTGGCGCTCCAGGCTTCTGCTCATGCAGCAGTGATATGCTGGTGAGGCTCTACAGGGGCCTCTCAGAGAATGCAGTGTAGCTCCTCACTCTGGCGAACAACAAGGGGGTGTACATCTTGTCAATCTCAAAAGCACTGACTGCAGTCTCACCAGTTGATCTAGAAACAAAGTACAAAACCTCGGAATGAGGAAATTCCAGTGTGTCTGAAATCCCTGCATGCTTGCACAGGGTGAGTTTAAAGTCTAAACAATGGAGGCACATTGTAAAACATTTAAGAACTTCCTTCAGAAACCACTTTTATTGGCCGCATAACATTATAACCCCTGCTTATATCATAACTTACCAAGTAATTATTCTTTTGGAAAGTTAGGTTGTTTCTGATATTTGGTAATCAAAGTAATGTACTATTCTTCATGATGACCCTCTATATATTCCTAAGAGAATTTCCAAGACAATAAGCTACAGACAAATCTGCAGCCCTTGTTAAACTGTATTTCAAAAGAAAATCCTATTATTACAACAGAACTAATGATTTAATATTCAATCAATAGCAAAATCCTATGTGTGTGTGAATGCCGAGGTGGCAACTAAGTATGCTACTACAGCGTATTATATACCCCATGAAGAGAAGTCGACCAAGGCAGAAAACCAAGTGACCTTTGACTATTACAAGGCTGTGGTCACAGGCAGTTACAAAGCACTTCCCCCTGAAGAGAGATCCTCACGTCCCGCTGGGGTAAGCACAAACTGTGGCAAGCACTCACTGGCTTCCTTCTACTTATGGGTTTTACTTTGAAAAGTAGGAAAACATCTGCATCAGATCACAGATTGAATTAAGAAGGGAAAGACTGGAATGTGAGGGACACACTGCCCTTTCTTCTCAGTAGGCAGAGTCTCCAAATGAGCACTGAGGTCATTTACAAGGTGGCAATGTGACAGAGAATGTTAACCCTACATGGTCAAGACTGCAGGAAACATTAATGGGAGCCTGCCTCAAAACGTCTCTCTCAGAATTCTGGGTTCAACCTGCATGGAGATCCCCAAGACACCAATCCTCTCTCAAGCCAGCCATCGATAATTCTGGCAGTCACATGACCTAGTATTTCACTTCTTTGTTGTCTTCTAAACTTTTTCTTATTTCTGAATTGTTTGTTTTGATATTCTTAATTAATTACCCGATCAGACTAAACCCTATCTCACAAAATTAAGAGTTTTAAACAGGAATCATGTACCTAATCCATTTGGCTTTGGGTTTTACTGAGCACCGTTTTAAAAACAGACATAACTATGTAAGTGTGGTTTTTAAAACCATTGTATAATCTCTGAGAATGAACCAAAAGGAATAAAGTGAAAAACATTAACAGTGATCTGTAGAAAAGCAACCTTTTGAAAAATGCCTCCAGTATGTCAATGAATAAGCAGTGTGTTCACAGCCTGCACAGACCTCAGTTCTACTGATGCAATGCCCCCTGCTTAGTGAGTGGGTGAGCACTCACGTCTGGTCTTTCGCACTTTCACTTCTGAAGTGGAGTACTGACTGGGTAGGAAAGGCAGGGCTCCACTTCCTCAGTAATGCTCAACTTCTTACATTTGAGCCTTTTGTATGTGTATGGGGTGGGGGGGTCATTACAGTTTCACACTGTGGTTTTTACTTTGCAACAAGATACTGAAGAATTCCAAACAAGTTAGGCTTCTCCAGTTGGATATAAAGTGTACTTTTATGCTAGTCTTGGCATTCCTTTTCTTATTTTATTTTAATTTTTTTCTTATGTGTATGGTTATTTTGCCTGCATGTCTGAACACCACTTGTGTGTCTTGCACCTGTGAAGGCCAGAAGAAAGCATCTGATCCCCTGGGACTGGAGTTACAGACAGTTGTGAACTGCCATATGGGTGCTGAAGATTGAACCTGGGTCTCTGGAAAATCAGCAAGGAGCTGTAACTGCTGAGCCATCTCCCTCGCCCCCCAGCTTGGCCTTCTTTACTGCAGTCACTTACTTGTAAGTGATGTGACAGGAATGGTGGATCCAGATGAGTTTGTTGAACCTCTGGTGGCCACTGGAACACAGCTGCAGCCCCACATGAAAACTGTGATCTGCTTCTTGTACAGGAACACGACGAAAATATCTATATTTATAGTCAAGTGGTTTCTGGAAAAGAAAAGAGACGTGAGGTATGATAACTATGCATACAAATATATAAGAGTCACTACAAGTAACTTAACAGTTACACATTGCAGACTGCCTTGAGTATCACTAAGTAAAATACCAGGTTTGTTCCCCACCATCACAGGAACTTCAGGTGTTAACTATATGGCTGAAGAAATGAGGATCCAGGGAGGTTAAACCAGGTAACTAAAGTTACACAGCAGTTTCAGAAATAAAACGTTTATCTCCTAACCCTGATAGTTTCATCTATTAGAAAATATTTCCTTTACCAGGGGGTGGTGGCGCACACCTTTAATCCCAGCACTGGGGGGGGGGGTAGATCTCTGTGAGTTCGAGACCAGCCCAGTTTACAAGAGGTAGTAGACAGCCTCCAAAGCCACAGAGAAACCCTGTCTTAAACACCCCCCCCTCAAAGAAAGAAAGAAAGAAAATATTTCCTTTAAAATGCTTTTTAAGGACTGGAGAGATAGCTTGACAGTTAAGTGCACGGGCTACTCTTGCAGAAAATCCTGGTTCAATTCCCAGCACCCACACAGCAGCTCACAACTGTCTACAACTCCAGTCCCAAGGGATTCGATGCCCTCCTTCTGGTTTCTACAGCTACCGGGCACACACATGGCAGAAGGACAAGCATGAAGTCAAAGTACCCATACACATACAATAAATACAATTTTAAAAATAAAACAATTTTAAAACGTTTATCTCCTAACCCTGATAGTTTCATCTATTAGAAAATATTTCCTTTACCAGGGGGTGGCGGCGCACACCTTTAATCCCAGCACTGGGGGGGGGGGGGGGGGGGACATTATAAAATGGTGAAGGCTACCAAAGAAAGCATGAGTGAAGCTTGGTGGCATAAACCCTTAATCCCAATACTGGGCAGAGACAGGCAGATCTCTGGGAGTTTGAGGACAGCTTGATCCTCAGAGTTCCAAACCAGTCAGGGTTACACAGTAAGATCTTACCTTTTATCATATGTATATACATAAGCATCTATATAAATAAATTTCTATATATCTATTTATATATAAAAGCATAGAGTATAGCTCATCTTACAACAATAAAATAGTCCATAGATACACAGATGTGATGTATTTCATTCTAATAATACTTTTGTAAATGAACACTGTGACTGGTTTTCATTATAAAAGGATACCGACATGCTACATGGGAATTCCTACATACTTTATTAGAAAAAAAACTAATGTTAATATCAGGAAATGCATAGTCACAGTCAAAGTCATTATCTCTACTCCCCAGACGGTTGTCCCACAATGTTCTAGGAGCCTACCAAAGGAGGTAGGGTGGCTGGGGATGGTGGTCACAAGATGATGGGACTGGACAAAAGAATTTAGGGAAAGTTGTGAAAACATCAGACTATAACATATATTAGTAATCAGTTCTTCCAATAAAATGCTCTCTCTGCAAGTCTCCTGACCAAAGAGTGGTCTGTCCTGGCAGCCAGGCCCCCCAAAACAGCAACCAGAGTCGTCAGATGTAGGAGATCCTGGCCCCACATTCCTGTATGTATGAAGCCTAGAACAGTTTTCTGGAAAGACATACACACTGTTCCAGACACAACATGAGAAAACTGTAGCTCTGCGGGTGGATCTGTTAGAGGCTGGCAGAGTACCACTGTTTTCTTTCTGGCTGAGAAGGCATGGAGGAGTGGGCTGTGGGACAGGAATACACCAGTTCCCAGTGCATACTCACGTCTTCTTTTTTCTTAGTTATTACAGCAAATACTTTGGTCTGATTGTCTGCATCTTGTGTCAAGCGATAATGACCCAGCAGAATTGCATCCGTTCTAGGAAATAATAAATGCACTTAAATTAACTGGTATACTTACTTGAGTAATGCAGGAAACTGAGCTACAGCACCACTCATTCAACATGCTGCAAAGGTCTACTAGGATGAGAATGGACTTTAACTCCAAAGCCCCAAACCTATCATACAGGCTGCCTAGGGAAAGGCTTCTGGAGACTGTTTTCCCCAGCCCTCTGCCTGCGTTTTAAGTCATACATTATTAAGCCAGAGGAGCACTGCATTAGATTGAATCCGAAAATACGGACTGACTAGAAAGTTGTATAAAAACACTACCTGGTGTTCCTAGTTCTTAAACGGGGCACAATGGACTGGGGCTCCTCGGGGGTTGTCAACATCATCACATGGCCGTCAGGAAAGAATCTTATGTACCTACATAAAAGAAAAAACACCAAACACCCCCCCACACACACAATATAAGACATGCCCTTAGTTTTCAGTACCTACACTTAGTCATAGCTGTGCAACCCACACTGAAACACCACCAGCAAAGCACTGCTAAGACAGGAAAGAACACAGGGCAAAGTCAGTCTACAAGGATAAGGCATTCTACGAACCTCCCTGGGGATCTGATGACCTTTTTGTTTTACTCACTGAATAAACATTAAACTTCGCTCTTTTCTTAAAGTTCCATGTTTTCCTAAGGCGCCAATAATTAATTAATTAATTAATTAATTAATACACAGTGACCAGCACTATCCTATTATCAGCAGTCATACTTGTAAACACTAAGGCTGGGACAAGCCTTGTATAATATAATCATAAAGAACAAAGGGGCTTTGGACTATATCAAGGGGCTGTAGGGATTATAAAATTCATATTAATCTTTTGGGGTTTTTTTAGTGTAATTCCTGTCCTAATACTGAATAAAAATACCACGGATCATTTTGTGGATAAGTCATAAGCAATAGAAAACAGACTGAGTAACTAACAAGCTAACACTTGAGAGAGGTCTCCACTCACTCAGTTTACAGCAGCTGTACCTGTAGTATTCCACTTGGTGCCAGGCTCTATAGAAACCATCCAGTGACTGCTCTCCCTGGCGGATATATGTAGTTTTACTGATGTACACACCTAGAAAAAAGAAACAACTGTCCTAAAAGTCATAAATACAATTTAAGTCAGAATCATATAATAGGATGTTCCCTTTAATTATGCACTTAGGTCCATTACAGAAAATGAAAACTGTTTGTTTTATCAAAATGAGCACTGCAGATCCTGGCTTCTCCTGAGTTTTGAGTCCAACTTACCATCAAAGCGAACACGAGGCCGTTCTAAAAACATCTCTCTCCACGATGAGTATGGGACGAGTTTCATACAGCTTCTACCCCACACTTTCAAGCAAGCCAGACGCCATATTTCAGGGTCTCTGGGTAAGAAAGTGCATCATCAATAAGTGTAAAAAGCTAAGGCCCTATAAGCAATGAATATTTTGACTATCATGTATTTCTTTTTAATTCGACAATGATTTGCTGAGCACCTTCAAGACACTGTCTCAAGGGGCAGGCAGAGACTGACAGACACGGTGAGGATCTTTTGTTTACGGCTGAGAAAAATATGCAGGTACAGTGCTCAGTGCAACCACCAAAGCAGTTAAGATAGGAACTACACTGTTCATGAAACTGATCCTTTGGACAAGGTGACCACAGGGACAGGGAAGACTATCCTGGCAGGTGCAGTCAGTGCAAGGTTTGGGTTCAGGTGTGAATGGTGGGTTCAGCAAAGAGCCAGTAGGAGCACACCTGCAGAAGCGAGCAAGCTGAGCAAGGCAGAAGGGGAAGCCTGCGGCAGGAAAGTGCCGTTTACAAGAGCTGAGCGTGACTATGCTTTTAAAGGGTAGCTCTGGAGAAATGGAGTTAAGGGAAGGTGATAGAATCTGTGACAGCATCCACAGAGCAAAGTCAGTGCATTCAAGACAGCAGAGGATGGGAAAGGGACAGAAAGTCTACCTAAAGAAATAACAGCAGAAAACTTCCAAAACCTGGAAAAAGACAATAAACCTAGCAAGTGGGAAGAACAAAGGATCCTAATCAAATACAACCAAAATATGACAAAGTCCCAGTGTGCCTAACAACAGATTTCCAACAGGAACCTCTACTAAAGGTCAGGGGCCTGGGGTGACCCATCCTAAACCCTAAAGGTGAAATAACAGTTAACCAGAGTTGAAGGAACCAAGAGAGTCAGAGAGAACCCCTGTCAGGACTGCCACAGAGAACCCAACAGCAAAGGGAGACTGCATCCCATTGCTGGCTGAGGGCCAGCTCTGCAAACAGCAAGGAAGTGGCAAACACTCTAAATGGAAGGGCAATGTAGAGGATGAAAGAACTGCAGCTTCAGTGCCAGCTGCTGGGGACAGGTTTTCAGTGCCAGCTGCTGGGGACAGGTTGTGTTTGTGCTGCCAGGAAAGGGACAGTAGCTCAGTACTGGCAACAGCGGCTTGAGAGCTGGCTGGCAGCTCTAACTGTGGGACAAGGAGTCCCCGACCTCACAGGCTTTGGGGGTGAGGGGAAGAAAAGGGGGCAGCGGGGTGTTGGGAATTCAATTCACCACTGAACTATCTACAGGGGTTTTAAACACAGTTCCAGGAGCTGGCTGGTACGCCATGCTTCATAAAAGAAACACGCATGTCCCTAATGGCAGAATCTATGCTGCTACAGCAGCAGTCAATGTTGGCTATCATTCAGCCGTGGGGAGAGCAGAACACCTAACGCTGGTGGAAGCCTTGGGCTTGTGGGCCTCACAGAGCTCAGCATTCTCAGATCATTAGGTGGCACTGTCACAAGCTAGAGTCCCATCTATATTTTTCCTAGGGGAATTTGGGGAAGTGTCCCTTTTGGGTCTCTCCCTGGTACTGCAGCTGCTGATACAGTCCCAGATTTACTTATGTCTGTCCACCAGAAGGGGAGAGGGTCCTTGTCACTTCCAGCAGCCCTAGAAATATAACTACTAGAGTTCTACTACCTGGTGTCATCTGCACTCTCTGGGAATAGGACAAGGTTTCTTCTCCAGCCAGCTGCCTTGAGGCGAGCTAGCTATGAGTGCCAAAACCCAGCACCATCTACCACTATCTCTCAGAACCCAGATACACTTCCAACCTAGGTTCCCCAAAGGCCTGTGTTTACAGCTTGACCCTCAGATTATAGGGCTACTGGGAGCCGGGACAGAATGTTAGGAGGTAGACGCTATTGGAGTAATCTGGGGCACTGCAGCATGCCCTTGAAGGGTTAACAGGATGCTGCTTTTTTCCTATCCTTTCTTCCCAAATACCATCAAGTCAACAGTGGACTGCACTACACACTCCAAACCGTTATATTCTGCCTTGCTCCAGGGCCCAAGGCAACAGAGCCAACAGACCAAAGACTAAACCTCTGAAATCATCACCTAAAATAAATCCTTTAAGTTGTTTATCTCACATATTTTGTCAGTGACAGAACCCTACAACAGGTCCCATCCATGTCCATAGTTCTAGAAACCCAGCTGTTAGCACCCCAAATGTGTCATACACACACATCTATCTCCCCAACAGAAACTAGGAAAGGCCTCCTCCCCAGCCCACAGCCTTAGTACTGCACCTGCTGGTGCAAAAAGCACTGGCAGTACCTAAGTCTATCTTACTCATGTCCTGCAGTTCCAAGACTCTGACTACCAATGCTTGCCCCACACAACCTAGGGACATTTTATCCACATCCTGCTGACAACAGATACCAAAACCACAAGCTCCAAACCATGGATACTCAACCCATAGTATCTAGTACAGCCACATCCGGTATCCCCAAGAGTATGGACACATCAGCATCAAAAACCCAACTCTTACATATGACCCACAAGGTCTGTGTACATGGGACCATAGCTGCTGGTACCAAAAGATCACTTGGACTTGTCACTTAAGACTTGGTTTCCACATGCAGCTGTCAGAGGTCTAAGTCCCAGAGCTAACCACAATTGTCCTTGACAGAGATGTCCTTTGCATCCTATAACTTCTGGCGTTACTGATGCTTCAGACTCCACCATTAATTTGTTTTTGTTTTTTTTTAGATTTTATTTATTTATTATGTATACAACATTCTGCTTCCATGTATATCTGCACACCAGAAGAAGGCACCAGATCTCATTACAGATGGTTGTGAGCCACCATGTGGTTGCTAGGAATTGAACTCAGGACCTCAGGAAGAGCAGTCGGTGCTCTTAACCTCTGAGTCATCTCTCCAGCCCCTTAATTTGGTTTTTATAACATGGGAGCTAGGCAAGGTGACATCCTACCGCATGGCTCCCAAAACTAGACACTGTCACCAAAGTCCAGACATTTTCCATATCTATCCTAAGAGTTGTGACAAGGTCTTTTTCAAATCCTATGGTTCAAGGACCACAGCTGTAGGCATCACAGTCTTGGTATTACTTGTGCTTGCCATGAAGGACCTAAGGACAGTCCTCTTGACATCTCATACAATTGAGACTATGGTAGATGCTACCACACGTCACAGTGGAGGCTGAGGACACAGACCAGTCTTTGGAAGTCTGTGCCCATTGTAAAGTTGTAAATTGCTTTTGTGAATCATGGCAGTCTAGACTATTCAGGCACTTGGAGACATTATTGACATCAACCAGAGCAAAGAAATCAATCACAAAGATGTTAATACATTTAAGCTCACCGAAGCCAAAGCCCCAGATGCCTCTATATCCAGATGCATCTATATCTCATGTATGTGGTGGTGGTGGAAGGGTGCACTTCCAAGAAGTACAGGAAATAAAAACAAAAGGAGATGAGATGACTTCAAAATAAGGTTTCTTTCTGGTTCAATGAGATGGCTCAGCAGGGATGGTACTTGCTGCCAAAACTGATGACCTAAGTTTGGTTCCCGGGACCCAGACGGTGGGGGAGAATGCTGAATCTATGAGTTGTGTCTGGCCTGCACAGGCATGACAAATGTATGCCCAAATACATGTATACATGAACCATATACATGTACACATGAAATACATAATAAAATACAACATTTTAAAAGGTTTCTTTTTACACAGCAAAGAAAACATCTAATAACATGTAGAGACAGGCTAATAATGAGAGAAACACAATGGCCAAATCTGCACATGACAGAGTTGACATTTACAAGAAACTACACACTCAAAGGCAAAAAACAAAACAAAACAACAACAACAACAAAAAGACCTAATAACCTAATTAAAACATGGGCAATAAATCTAAACAGACATTTCTCAAAAATAGGTATTCTGATGATGAACAGGTACATGAAAAGAAAATGTTCCATACCACTTATAAGCAGCAGAGAGAGGCAAACAAAACATTGGAATCACATACTCCACTAAGAATAGCTGTTAGAACATAGATTAGTACAGCCATGCAGGGTCCTCAAAAGATAATAATAGGGCTGTCACATGATGCAAAGGACCCAAAGGAAATGAATCAATGTGTTAAAGAGACAGCTACACTCTCACTTCACTGCAGCACTATTCACAATAGATAACAAGTGGAAAGGGAATGAACTTTAAAAACTGTAGCGCATATACACATGCAATGCTATTTAGACATAAAAAGAATAAGATCATGCAATTTGTATCAACTTGGATGGAACTACAGATCATTAAGTTATGTGAAAGGTCAGTGACAACTGCCACATATCTCACTCATTGTACAGGATCTAAAAAAGTCAATCCTGGCTGGGTGGTGCTGGCACACGCCTTTAATCCCAGTACCAGGTGGATTTCTGTGAGTTTGAGGCCAGCCTGGTCTACAGAGCGAATGTCAGGACAGCCAGGACTACACAGAGAAACTGTCTTAAAAAAACAAAGTCAATCCTATAAAAGATGAGAGCACAGCAACGGCTAGCTGCTTGTGTCCCTGGGAAGGGGAGTGAAAAAGGGAGCGACAGGAGTTGACCAATGGCACCAAGTTATGATTAGGGCAAGAAGTGCCAGTACTGCGACAAAGCAGAGTGGGTATAAATGCCAATGTGTTGTGCATTTGGAAAAAGTACAAGAATTTTGAGTTTCTACCATGAAGAAAAAATAAGCCAGGTATGGTGGCATACATCTGCAATCCTAGCACTTCAGAGGCTGAAGCATAGGGATTATGGATTAGAAGACAACCTGAGCTATATAGTGAGCTCAAGGCCATCCTGAGTTACATGCCTAGTCTCAAAATAACAAGTGCTAAGATGCAGTTTTAGAAAGAGCACTTGCCTAGTACAAAAACAGAAGTAAATGTGATTAATGTGACGATACATTATACAATATGCATATCACACAGTATATAGTGCCATCAATAGAGAAATGTTTACCTTTTTATACAATATGCGTATCACACAGTATATAGTACCATCAATAGAGAAAGTTTTTACCTTTTTATGCATTAGCTAAAAAAAATAAATTAAGGTGCATGCTTATAGAACCAGGACTCGGGAGGCTGAGTCAGAAGGATTGCTTTGCATTTGAGGCCAACCTGGACTACACAGTCAGAACCAAGCCAGACAGGGCTACCTTGCCTCAATTAAGTAGTTTTGCAAAGTTTCTGTTTAAGCTTTTACTCAGAACATCAAGGTTTTCTTTTTTTTTGGGGGGGGGAGAGGGTCAAAACTGACAAATGGCCTTCATCTTTTCACCACTGTCGGAGTCATTTTTAAAACAAGTACCTGGCACAGATATAGAATCCTCTGCACACCAGTGACAACTGCTCTAACGATCTGAGGTCCAAGTCACTTGATACCACCCATCGGAAGATATACATCAGGACCTCCATAGGCAGAACTGCAACAGAAAATCATTCTTCAGTGACTTCCCTTATTCTCTTAGTGCATTATGCATTCTGAGAAACCTGTACATCACCACCTCATACTGCTCAGACACGGTTAACTTAACAACACAGTAGTAAACAATGGCTCCTACACCAATGCATGGGGATCTTTATTTTTTAGCAGAGATTTGATACTACCTAAAGTACTGTTTTCCCCTGCGGGGAAAGCCAAACAGCCAGTAGCCAGGCAGGATTTCCAAGGCAAAGAGAATGCTGGGAAGAAGAAAGGTAGAGTCTGAGGAGACACATGAGAAGCAGAGCCAGCAGAATGGGAAGCACGTAGATGAGGTAAACAAGCCTCGGGGCAGCACGTAGATAATAGAGATGGGTCAATTTAAGTTCTAAGAGCTAGCTAAAAACAAGTGTAAACTATCGACTGGAATTTATAATTAATATTAAGTTCTGTGTGGTTATTTGGGAACTGCTGGGGGGACAGAGCTGATTGGTGGGCCTGATGAAAAACTCCACCCACAGTGGACACTAAAGCTATTTTTATTTAAGAAAATTTTAAACAGCCTCCCGTAAATAAGCAGTATTTACTATAGGAAAATGATAACTTGTGAACATTTAGCTGTGTCAGAACCACTGGAGATCCTGCTTGCTGTGCTTATTGACAGCAGTGCTCCTGCAGGCTCCAAAGGGCTTCAATGGAAAAGTATGGCACCCCAAATTCCCTCAGCACCAGTGTTGTTTCGAACGCTGAAAAGCACAGAACTGACATCATAACTATATCGCCCATCACATCTGGAACTAGGGCACTAATTATCTGACTTTACACCAAGGTTCAAGTGTTCTGAGTAGAACAACAAAGAAGCCACACCTGATATGTGAGTCTGACTGGTCTCAAGCTCAGGCTGACACAGTTTGAGCACAGACTCCTGAAATGTGAGCTGCTGCTGGAAGTATGACAAGAGATCTGCCATCTTGCTGTCATCATCATTGTCTTCAATGCTGAAACAAAGGGGGAATGAGTAAACTGAATGCCTCAGACCATAAGGTTAAAACAGTTTGTTCACAGCACCTTCCAAACAGCTTTAGAACCCCATCTAAAAAACCTTACTACTTTTAAAAGATATGCTAACATGTGTCCTGCCTTGTTGCAAAGTACCATAACAAGCTTTTCCAAAGGAAAACATTTTTTGTAATCATCCAAAGAGTTAGGAATTTTAGGCTCAGGTAATGAGACTAAATTAGTCTAATTGTAGAAATTTTATGAGTTAGTGAAAAACTGATTTGGAAATTTTGTATACATCTTTTAGTGAATTTTTGTTTGTTTGTTTGTATGTCTGTGTACCACGCAGGGCCCTCAGAGGCTAGCAAAGGGAACAGATTCCCTGGAACTGGTGTTACAGTTTTGAGCTGCTATATGGATGCTGGGAATTGAACCCAGGTCTGTTGAAAGAACAGCCAGTGCTCTTAACCACTAAGCCATCCTTCCAGCCCCCATTTAATGACCTTATTCCTTCTGACAATATGAAAAATATGCAGATGCCATCTGAGTTGCTAAATTTTCTAGCAGAAATTGCCTTAATCTGTCACCCCACCCTAAAGAATAAAATATCAAATTTGAATAAGTCTTGGGATTCACAAAATCATCTACCAATAATATTTTTAAAGATATATATAGTTGCAAGGTTGGTTTAGCTTTCCATTTTGAAGAAGTTAACCTTAAAGATGATCAGAGTTACAAAAAAGACCTGCACGAGGATGGAGTTAGGAAAACAGGAAAGGCATTTCATAATACAGAAAGCAAATAAGGTTGGGCCTAGATAAACTCAATGGTCCATCTACTAAAACTTCAACACATGCCTTTAATCCCAGCACTCAGGAGGCAGAGGTAGGTAGATCTCTGATTTCAAGGTCAGTCTGGTCTGTAGAGTAAGTTCCAGGATAGCCAGGGCTACATGGTAAATAAAACCCTGTTATAGGGGAGGGGAGGGGCGGGTGAAGAGACAAAAACAAAATAAAAAACAACTCTATGTAATGGTTCCCCCTAGCTACGGTAATGGTCTCATAGCTCTGGCTATCCCTCAATTCACTACACATACATTCAAGAATTTATAGATTCTCCTTCCTCAATCTCCCAAGTGCTGTGATCATAGGTATGTGCCATCACACATACTGTACACGGTGCTGGGGATCAAATCCTGGGCTTTGTGCAAGCTAGGCAAGCATTCTTCTAACTGATTATATTCCTAGCCCTGCAATATCCATTTGCAACTGACATTTCCTCCTGGGCACAAGCACCTTTCCTTCTAATGCCATCAAGTTGGGAGAAGTTAGGCCAAAACAATTTTATAACAGTCTTGAAGAAAAAAAAAATGGCTTTGAAATATATTCAGTTTAAACCGTCATTGCTTCTTCATAACTGATGGAAGTGCTGTCAGGTACAATGAACTATGATTTTTCTCAATGCTTATACCTTGTACCTATGCTTTTAGGCAACACTATTTGACAGGTTTAATAATGTTCATTCTACATACATTAAGAGAATGAAATCACTATAGTTTAGCATTATCCTAACAAGACGGTTTTTTGAAATATCAAAAGATTCAAACACAGAGACAAGTATAATAATACAGTTCTATAACCTAAACCACTCAACTTCGAACATTAGTTAACATATTATCAACTAGCCTAACTACATTTAGTATTTTCCACTTCAAATAGACTTCAGAAGGTTGAAGTATTTTTTTTTTTAAGATTTTATTTATTAAGTATACAGTCTTCTGCCTGAATGTGCCCTGCATAGCAGAGGGCACCAGATCTCATTCAAGGTGATTGTGAACTGCCATGTGGTTGCCGGAAATTGAACTCAGGACCTCTGGAAGAACAGTCAGTGCTTTTAACCTCTGAGCCATCTCTCCAGCCCTGAAGTATATTCTTTAATTTATTCTTTTCAATAATAATCAATCACCAGCCACTGGTGGCGCATGCCTTTAATCCCAGCACTCAGGAGGCAGATGCAGGCAGATCTCTGTGAGTTCGAGCCAGCCTGGTCTCCAGAGTGAGTGCCAGGATAGGCTCCAAAGCTACACAGAGAAACCCTGTCTCAAAAAACCAAAATAAATAGATAAAATATAATAATCAATTTAATTTTAAAAACTTTCATCACTTTATGCTTCTTACATCTACTTAAAATGTAAATCTTAAAATTTCCCTAGTTACCTAAGTCTACTTATAAACATGACACACTAAACATGACAGTAACAGAACCAGCACCACCTTCTTAGCAGGTTCAGAGTTAGAATGGTAAAAAAGTGCTTAACTTGTAAACTTTATGTATTACTGTCTGTCAAATTATATACGCACTAGCTGTTTCCAACGCCATCACCATCTGGAGACCGGGTATAAGTAATCTTGAACTCAATATCAGGTACAAGTTGCATAGCCCTACGGTAGAACTTGATGGCTAAAAGAAGAGATAAAGCTAAATTAGCTCTGGCCACACATTTCTGTCAGTCACTCTGATTGCCCTTAAATGATAGGACAGCTGAATACTTCAAATATGCAACAGTAGCACACTGAACAAACAAATCTCCAAGCCATGCTGCTCAGCTTCCTATCCTCTCAAGGCTAATGGGTTACAGGAACTATCTTTTCATCCTTCCCATGTTTTTCTCATCCTCTATGACTCACTAGATGTGATTCTATGTGGGGCTTCTTTGCTGAGCTCCATAAAGTGCAATTGTTATAGTCCAAAATAATTACTTCTGGATGAATTTTTCCTTGTGCCATTTGTAATTCATTTTTCAAACCCAATTTCCTTTAATCCAGTGGGCCCTTATTCAGCTAAATAAACTTTAAACATTACTTTTATTTGACATTTTTATTTCCACCTCTTAAAATTTATTTTTTGAGATTATAAATATAATTACAGCATTTCCTCTTCCCCTTTCCTTCCTCCAGACCTTCACATATACCCCTCCTTGCTCTGTTTCAAATTCATAGCCTCTTTGTTGTAATTGTTGTTACACAGATATAAGTACATGTAGATGCATATATATTTCTACATATACCCTGCTCAGTCTGTACGCTACTTGTGTATACGTCTTCAGGGCTGACTACTTGGTGTTAGATAACCAACTGGTGCGCTCCAACCTGGAGATGACTTTCTTCTGTTTTCAGGAAACCTTGGTTTCCTACAGTTTTCTGTGTAGGGCTGAGGCCTCCTGCCCCGCACCCCCCCTTTATTTTTTATTTCTATTTATGTGTAGGTGCACAGGAAGGGCAGAAGGAGGTGTCAGATCCCCTGGCACTGGAGGTATAGGAAGCTGTGAACACCACTGAGCATCTCTTTAGACCCATAAAACTTGTTATTTTTGTTGTTTTATTTTGTTTTCTTTGAGATAGAGTCTTGTTTTCCTGGTTAGCCTCCTATACTGAGTATATAGCTGATACTGGCCTCAAACTATGGCAATCCTCCTGCCTCAGCCTTCTGAGCACTGATTACAGGTATGCACCACTATGCCCAACTTAAATCCTGCCTTTTGTAACTCTTGTGGGTAAGTGGTTCCTAGCAGTGATGCTCCATCATCTCTCCCCACTGGAATCTGGAGCTGTAGAAGCTGATTAGCTTTTTTTCTTCAGGATGAAGTTCATTCAATATGCTATTTTCTGTCATGTTTCCACACTCTGAGTCTAGTGCCATATATTAAGTGCAGGTGGACGCCTCACAAACTAATGAAGTCTACATAAGGGATTTGACCAGTTAGACACTTAAACTATAGATAAAAATATCAGTAGAAGAAATTTTCAAATAAATACAGTAGCTTCAAATGATGTCATTTTCCACATGTTTTCAAAGGACTTAATCTCAAGCATTTTTTTCATGTCCCATTTACTATCATTCTCACCAAAAAAATGTACTACGGAAAGGAGTGGAATCACTCTGTCTATGTGCACATTATCTACCCCGCTGCTTGCTGGAGATAGAACCTAGGTCACACATTACACACAACCGGCAAGGACTCCACCACTGAGCCACCTCTCCATTTTCCAAATGCATTGCTGTAGGGTTTATAGAGACAAAAGCTGAAGCACCTGCCTTTGGTAAAAATTAAAGTCAAGCTTAGAAATACCACCTACGTGTTCTTTATGTCATCCTTTGTATTTCATGTATCTGAAATATTTTCACATATGAAAAGAACCCAATACAATTTTTACTTTATTAATGAATACCTAATACAAAGCTAAATATAGAAAATTTATTTTACTTATCCTACAAATATGATAATTTTGCTCTGAATTGTATTTTGGAAACAAGTTATATACAATTCATTTATATTAACTAATTAATTATTTTGTAAGAAGGGGTCTTTACTATGTAACCCTGGCTGGCCTGGAGCTCATTATATAGACCAGGCTGGCCTCAAACCTGCAAGGATCTTCTAAGCCACAGGTATGCACTACTGTGCCCAGTCAAATATTTTTAACTTAAAAAAATTATTTTAAGTAAAAGGAGGAAAATGTTCTACACCAAACAAATTCCAGCACAAGAAAATACTGATCACTAATGAGCTGCAATTCGGAGGCAGGGTTTTACCTTCATAGAGAGCTCCGTTTTGCTCTTCTTCTACTGCTTTCAGAAAGAGTTCTCGAGCCTGTGAGATAAAAAGGAAAAAAAAAAAAAACTTTGAAAATCTGTATTGTAAAAAGATAAAGCAGGTACAGTGGCACAAGTCCCAGCACGTGAGAGGCAGAGGCAGCAGGGCCATCCTTATGTGAGGACGGCTTGGGTTTCATTAAACCCCACACAAAAATACATACATACATACATACATACATACAGTGTAAATATATAGTAGAAAGACAGCATTTCCAAACGATGTTACAGAAATTGTACATCCAAAACAACATAATGGATTTTGACCTAAGTCACATAAAAATAACTCAAAATGGATTATGAACTCAAGATACAAAACTATAAAACTTCAGAGAAAACAAAAAAAATCTTGGGGACATAGGTAGCTCCTATGTGTAAATGACACAAAACTATGAGCCATAAAAGGAAAGGCCAACACATTCTGCCTTGTAAAGACTCACGCTCGGAGAAGCACCCTGCTAGGATGTGATGATGTAATGATGACAGCCCCCATGAGAGGAAGACAGCGACAGGGGCCAGGCAAGCAGTTAGCTTGCAGGTACTTACAGTGTAAACAGCTACAAACTGTCCAGGATAAGGTAATGACTGACATAACATGACAACACGCTCAGTTTAAAATGTAACAAAACACCCAATTAAAGTTCCCAAAGAGCAGGAGCCCAGACACCAGGTGAGATGCAGTAAAGCATAAATAAGGAGGCTGAGGCAAGGAGAGCACAGTAAATTCTCTGCCATTCCGGCCCACACAGGAAGTTCCAGGCCACCTGGACTATATAGAGTGAGAACCTCTCACAAGACAAAAAGACAAACATCCTTGAAAAGACAAGAGCATTTGAAAATTTCCAACTCTGCCTTTAGGGCTTCTGTTGTAAATTCCAAATGTCCATTATTTTTTTTTCCAGAGACTAGGTGAATCTTAAGAGGCAATAAATTAGCAACAAACATTACATGAAAATCATAGGTGACAGGAAAAAGCCAGTATTAGTTACTGTGATAAAATGCCATGACCAAGGCAATTTATAAAAGAAAAGGGTTATTTGGGCTATGGTTCCAGAGGGTTGGAGTCCATGGAGGTTGGAGTGAAAGCATGATGCAAGAACAGGAAACTGGGGGCTCACATCTTTTAACAAGCATGAAGCATTATGGAGTGCAGGCCTGAAATGGCATGGGTCTTTAAACTCTCAAAGCCCATCTCCAGTGACACACTTCCTCCAACAACACATTTCTCAAGTCTCCCCAAACAGTGTCACAAGAAAGCGAGCACTCAAATGCCCAGGACTATGGGGGACCTTTCTCATTATGTCACAAGAAAGCCCATAGTAATAATACCACCCCAAACACTTAGAAGTAGTAGAGGATAGGTAAGCCGGAATACTAGTCAAAATTTCTCCACATCAGAAAAACATCATTTACTTTATAAACACGTGTCTCTATCATCAGAGTTGACTAATGATGAATCACACTGGCGAAAAATCTGTGTGCTGCAAAAAAAAGAGTAACGTTAATTTGTTAGGACATTTCAGCACTTAACTTTTCTTCTTTTGCCAGTTCCTGCCTTCCTTTGGTGTCTGCAGCTGCTTTCAGTATGGAGCCTCTTCCTGCTCTGCAAGGCCGAGTTTCTAAATTGCTGGAACCTACGCCTGGGGCAAGTTCAAACATCCACTGAGCTCTGAACATCTGAAGCTGTGCCTACAGCAAAAGGATATTTGAGGACCCATCAAGAGAAGGTAGTGAAACTCTAGAGTGATTTATTAATGTGCCCAGTATCTATTTCAATGTACATTCTTGTAATTTTAAGGCCAGAAAACAGTGTCTCTCTCTTTTGAACCAAATACCTGAAACATACTTTAAAAAAATAATTTTCTGATTAAAACTTTAAAGAATGAACATCTGCTGAGAAAGTAAATCTGTCTATACAATAAAAAGCCTGAGAATACTGAAGATTTAAATTTTAATTAGAATTGAAGATATAAGCCCTAACTTAGGGGCTGAACTTACATGGTACTGAACAATTGTGAATAATGCACATTTGGTAGATATTACAAAGTGTATATTAATATTTAGTAGATATTACAAAGCCACTAAAAAGTTCTATAAGTCAGCCCAAAGTCTTTCTCTTTTAGTAAACATTCTATACTCCAAAATGTAAATCCTTCTAAACACAGATCATTTCAATATAAAACAGATAAGGTCCAGTCCCTTATATGGTCAGACTGCTTTTAAGGAAGATATTGCTACCCCAACTTCTGAAAACAGCCAAGTTATCACCCCTCTGGATATTGCCTCAGCAGGATCACGTTGCCTTCAGGCTCCCACTCCATCACCTGGCTCCCGGTAAGGGCAGTCTATATCCTCAGAACCCCACAGGACCAGCTCAGGCAGTCCTTTAAGACTATACTACAGCTGGGCTTCTTCTCTTGTCTCCCTCTCCCATCCTCCCTCCCAGGGCACTGACTCTAAGGGCCCTGAAGAACAATCTCAGTCTCTCTGCTTTCCTAGCAAGGAGCTCAAGCCAATGTTCTTCTCCTCTGGAAGATGGCCGCTTCTAACAGAATCGTGTATGTTGTTTCTGGCTAACTTTTTGAAATGGTGCCTTATAGATGTTCTCAAAATGTTCTGTACAGGGCTTTGGATCCCACACTCTTCTGGCACGTCACAGTCATGCCTGACCTGCAGAATCTTTAGCTGCATTCATTATTTACTAAATGACATGTACCAAACAAACAAGTATTATAAGGTTTACAAGTTCAATAATTAGTTCAATTACAGTAATTTTTAATTTGAGTTTAATACACAAGATTTACCTCACCCTTGTACATGGCTATAGTGTACTTCATATTATGGTACCACCATTCCTTAGAAAAAGTAATGAATATTCAGGTCATGTGACACTTCTCCATATAAGCCATGCTATTATAAACATCTTTGAACAAGTATATTTACTCAATTTCCCTGTTATTTCCTTAGATTTAATTTCCCAGAGAATTGCTGTATCAAAAGGGAACACATTTTAATTTTTATACACATTGCTATGTCCCCTCCAGAAAAATAATGGTCATTTATAATCTCAAGTGTAATATGTGTTTTCACAGTCCAGACAGAAATGGACATTATTCAATAAACCAGTTAAATTATTAAAGAGGTTTATTTTCTCTTCAAATATTTAACAGCCATTCATTTTTCCATTAAGTGTCTTGTAACCTTTCTGTCTGTGTTCCTCTGATTTATGCACGTAATCTATACACTGAGGATCTTAAACCTTGGTTCACATGACAGCAGCTGTTCTAGCTATTTCTTTCAACCTTACAGCACTTTTACAGGCTTTAACTTTTAAGTGATCAAACATCAACCACTGTATTTAAGGCTCTGAGTTTTGAGTCATGCTCACATATTGTTTTGAATACTTTAAACCTACATTCTGGGGACCAAAGCATTAGTTCAGTGGGTAAAAGCACTTGTTGCTAAGCCTAATGACCCAAGTTCTATCCCTAAGACCCATATGGGATAAGGGAAGAAATGATTCCCAGTAATTGTCCTGTGACCTCTACATGGGTGCACATACACACACACAAATAAATAAATGTAATAAAAAATTTTAAACTATATATTGAACTCCAAAGCTGTAGTTACTGACATTTATATGGTTTCAGTATGCTATAATGAATATGAAAGTCCAAGCCAAGCAATGGTAGTGCACTCCTTTAATCCCAGCACTTGGGAGGCAGAGGCAGATCTCTGAGCTAAAGGTCACTCTGGTCTACAGAGAAAGTTCCAGGATAGCCAAGGCTACATCTCAAAAAACAAACAGAAAATATGAAAGTCCAACTAAATTCCATGCAAGGAGCTGACAAATGCTCCCAATTGGAACCAATGTCTACATGTGGGACAAGCATTCCATATACAACTGAAGACACGTGCCTGCAGGTCTCTCTCAGCGGGACTCTCATTTTCATCATCACCCACTCTGACAGCATCAGAATGACAATCTTCCTCCGCTTCTGCCTGGGGAAACAAAGCAGAACAACATCAGAAACTGGCTTTGTGATCTACTCCGCTGTTACACTCTTGTTCCCAAAAGTATAATATCAATTCTACTCATCCAAAGTCATGTTGAGCCAGGCGGTGGTGGCATACTACTTTAATCCCAGCATTCAGGAAGCAGAGACAGGTCATTATCTGAGTTCAAGGCCAACCTGGTCTACAGAGTGAGTTCCAGGACTCTATCTCAAAACAAACAAGTCATTTTGAGTCTAGAATTTGCTATCAGTAAATGTTTCTTTGGCCTCTTGTTTCCTATAAATTGTGCCAAGATCTAGAAGGGAAATTGCATAGTAAAGACCACCTCACAGGTGACGTTTTTCCAGCAGGACCCAAGTGTCCTGAAATGCAGCCAATAAGTCCTATCACCAATGTTCCAAACACAGTGGTTTCAGTCTAACTAAAAGCAAAACATTTTCAGAACAATTTTGTGTTCACAAAGTTCGGCGAGTTATAGAAACTATTACCTTGTGAGCCAATGAAATGTAATTGCTTCTCTCCAGATGTCTGCTTTGTTAAGTTTAAATAATACCAATGAAAGAAAACTTGTACTTTAACTTTTGTAATACTGTAGAATCCACCCCACTAGGCTTCAGGTTTGGAGTTGCAGATGACTCAGAAGTTTAGAGCATTCTGCATTTCCAAGTGACCCAGGTTCTGTTCTAAGCACCCACATGGTGGCATACATGCAGGGGATCCAACCTCAGTGGGCATGGTATCTCAGCCAGGCATGGTATCACATGCCTTTAATCTCCATAAAGAAAGAGGCAGGCAGATTTTCTTGAGTTCGAGGCTGGCCTGGTCTACACAATGAGTTCCAGGTCAATGAAGAAGTATACAGTGAGACCTTGTCTTAAATGAAAAAAAGAAAAAAGGAAGGAGGGAGGGAGGGGGAGAAAGCCCTTCTCTTTTTCCTTTTTTTTTTTTTTTGTGCTGAGTCCAGAGCCTTGCGCATGGTAAACAAGTACTCTACCACTGAGCAATATCCCAACCAAACCAACCTCTATTATATTTTATTTCTATTATAAACCCAATCTTTTACATTGCAGTGGATTAAAGTAGAATAAAAGTGGACTGAATTATAGTATGTAATTTTGGGCTTAATAAATGTTTCAGTTTACTATTTCCATTGTATCCTTTTAGTTTCAGTAAATTAAATGAAGTATTGCCTCAGTTCAGTCTGTTAGCTAATAACTTATCAGCAAGGGGAACTTGCTCAACACTCAACATGATCAGTCCTACACAGAAATGTGGCAATGAGGGAAATGACCCTGAAGGTTGCCTGGGAAGAGTAACAAAACCAAATTTCTTGCCTCTAGTATCTACACACACATGCTTAAGGGCATATGTACAGTTTCATACACACAGGGAAACATATATAGACCACTCCCAAAAAAAGAAAAGCCAAAAAGCACAATTGCATCTAGTTCCAAAGACAGCAATTTTTATAACAAATTTTCAGCTCTAAGTTATTTCTAGGACAGAAAAGGTTTTATTACAACAGATCTTTGAACAGAGCAAGCAGACACACAGTATAACACAAACAAGCTCTGCTCATCCCTTATCTCAGGCAACCAGACTCAGAGCAGGGGGCCTATGACATCTGACTAGCTGGTACAGAGTCAAATGCTTGGTGCTCTGTAAAGGTTACATTAGTGAAGACATAAATGTTCTGAGTCTGGAGTCTGGGTTTAGATAAAAGAGCTTGGACAGGTGTCCCCCAAAAGGTCCATGTGTAAAAGTCCCTTAGGCTGGCACTCCAAAACATTGACAGAACCTGTAGAATCTGGCCTACTGTGGGACCCCTTTCTTTTTTGTGTCCTGGCTCATGAGGTGAACAGTTTCCTTGTTTATGTGTTCCAGCCTTGATTGCTGTTTCATTAGAAGCTCAAAGTACTTGGATTCAGAGTTGATCCTCCAGAACCTTGGGCCAAAATGAATTCTTTATAAATGATCTCAGTTGCAATAAGATACTTATCTACTAGGAAATACATAAGGGACTATGAAATGTATGGATCCTGCTGAGAAGCATACTTCAAGTCGATCTATCACTTCGAACCCTAAGCATAGCTAATAAGAGAGGACCCAAGTCCAATAGTATCCTTTTAGTGAGACAGCCTTCTACTTTTGCCTGGCAGTCACAGTAAGCTAACTTGATGTGAAGAGCTTCCTCCAGTTAGTGCTGCTTGCTCCTGGACCTGGATTACAATCATCTTCCTCACATAGCTGCTCCTACTTATTTTCAAGATTCAGGTAAAGGTTCATCTTAGCAGCTTTTCCCAATCATTTTTTTGTTGCAGGAATTTTGTATTCAAGTTTTTCTTCCTTCAGTGGAATGAGTGCAACCAAAGACAGAGAACATATCTTGGTCATCTTTGCTACCTTTAAGATCAAACACACTCCATGATTTTTGGTAAAATAGCAGCCTAGTTAGTTTTTGTTCCTTGAAACGAGGTCTCATTCTGTATAGCCTAGGATGGCCTTGAATTTGCAGTGATTTTCCTGCATCAGATTCCTAAATGCTAGGAGGAATGGAATTTTAAGTGTGAGCTACTACACACTGTGATCTTTTCTGTGGTAATTAATATTTTGTTTGTGCTCTCACAGCTTGCCTGGAGATCAGAGTGGGGAACTAGCCACTAGTTAACCACAGGGTCCAGACAGTAGTGGCACACGCCTTTGATCCCAGCACTTGAGATCTCATGCCTTTGATCCCAGCACTAGGGAAGAGGAAACAGAGGAATATAAGGCAGGTGTGGACACAAGTTTGCCCCCCTTTCAGTCTAAGAGTCACGGAGGTAAGAACTCCGGTGGTTGGCTGCTCTGCTTTTCTGATCTTTCAGCTTTCACCCCCTAATATTTTTCTCTAGGTTTTTATTAAGACCAATTTTTTTTTTTTTTTTTTTTTTTGGAGGGACTCTGTAGAGCTGGAGAGATGGCTCAGCAGTTGTGGACTTGATATTCTTCCAAGAGACCTGAGTTTGGTTACCAGCAACCATGTCTAGCAGCACACAACAGCTCCATGAGATTGGAACCCTCTTCTGCCTCTGTGGGCACCTGCACACACATGACATACTGTCTTAGTTAGGATTACAATTGCTGTACTGAAATGTCAAACAACTTGGAAATAGTTTATTTGGCTTATGCTTCCACATCACTGTTCATCATCAAAGGAAGCCAGGACAGAAATTTAAACAGGGCAGGAACCTGGAGGCAGGAGTTGATGCCGAGGTCATGAGTGGTGCTGCTTACAGGCCTGATCCTCGTGGCTTGCTCAACCTGACTTCTTATTGAACCCAGGACCATCAACCAAGGAATGGCACCACCCACAATGAACTGGGCCCTCCCTCAATCAATCACTAATTAAGAAAATGCCCTACAGCCCGGCGTTGGTGGTGCACGCCTTTAATCCCAGCACTTGGGAGGCAGAGGCAGGTGGATCTCTGTGAGTTCGAGGCCAGCCTGGTCTCCAGAGCGAGTGCCAGGATAGGCTCCAAAGCTACACAGAGAAACCCTGTCTCAAAAAACCAAAAAGAAAAAAAGAAAAAGAAAAAAAGAAAAGATAATGCCCTACAGTGGATCTTATGAAAGCATTTTCTCAATTGGGGCTCCCTCCTCTCAAGATGACTCTAGCCTGTGTCAAGCAGACATAAAACTATCCAGCACACATACACATACACTCACACACGAAACTGAAAAGCAATTTAAGAAGAGAGGAAGATCTGTAAAGGCAATCGGTTATTTCGGGGTCATCTTTTCAGGTGTGACATTCCACAATTAAAAGTTTATCACAGATCACACTTTATAGGTTTGGTAATAATGAAGATCAGGTGCGGTACCAAAATCACAACATGCCACGCTAGTAATAGAGGTTAAAAAAAAGAAAAAGTTAAACACAGAATACCTATCTCAAAGGTAAGAAAATGGGAAACCTGTACTAAGACAACATTCCTTTTCCCCTGAGTTTCTGTATTATAACAGAACCCATTGTTAACCTAATTTTGAAAGTATGGCCTGGGATTTTACTACATTTGGTCAATTTCAACGCCACTTGAAACAGGCACTTAGGAAATTTTCCGTTTTTTCATAATTGAAAATTACTCAAGCATCACTGTACACCTGAGTCAAGTTTCTTCACGTGGGATTAATTAAATACGAAGGTTAAGGGCCGAATCCTGGTCAGAGAACCACTTTTGAAAGTTTAGAAGAATAATCAATTCGTGCTTTTTTCCTGTGCTCCAGATTAGCTGCTTAAAATAAATCGTGTCAGCCAAGGAACGATAACCACTCTAGTTAGTCTGGCCTCTGTCATCCTTAATTCATTCGGCCGGAGGTTAATCTTAGCCATTGCTTAGACTACACATACTCCGTGCAGCAGTCCCGTTGAGACCACGGCTGTCAGACACGGACCTTAGCGCCGTCTCTCCATCTCCATCTGCACACGGAGACACGGCTTGGGCCCTCGCTATCACGAAATTAGACCGGAGCCCTCCGAGTCTGCCAGGACTGCCGGCCAATATCACCCTCCCGGTACCCCCGCAGCCTCGGGGACGTGCGTCCTAAACTCGGGGCTCCCGATCACGCCGAGACCGGCTGCGGGCCTGGCTGCCAGAACGGGAGCAATCAACAAGTGTCTCCTCTCGCCAGGGCCACCTCCCTCGTGCAGAGGCCAGCACGGTGCACCTCACCCCCCACTGCCTGCTCCGAC